CCCCTCTTTCACTCCACTGGTGCTTTCTGCCAAAGGAGTTAGTGCAATATGCTCCTGCCCTCCTGCATGGATGTCGAAAAGATGTGTCAGAAGCTACTGGTGAAGGGTAAAGTCACAGGTGTGCAATGGTCCCAAGGGGAGAGGCAATAATGGCTCTGTAACAAGACATGACCTTCTGCTATAAACCCATTGCAAATGGTGTCCAAAGCCAGGCCCCCGAAATTGCTCCACAATGAAGACCAATCAAGCAGACTGCAAAAAACACTTTCTAGTCAATCCCAGGAGGGCACTTTAAGGGGAAAAAAAATCTGTTCTATAAATGGTAGAACCAGACTCCAAATCTGTTTAAGGAAAGAAGAGAAAGTTAAAGAGGAACATTTGCCATACCCATATTCATTCGGAGATACACTCTTTGAGTGCAGGAATAAGATGATGTGCAAACTTCTATGTTCTGGCTGCCTTTTTTAGCTGGAAATGTCTTACAATAGCTTGTACAGATGTGACTAATTACATTCCAGAAACTAATGCAGCCCCTGGTGGGGGTGGAGGAGAAGGGGAAGAATGGCCTTGATAGAACAAGGAAAGAAATAACTTTTGTGAGTTACAGGGACAAGTAACTCTTATTTTATTTTGGGTCCCTGTGTTGCAACAGAGAAATGCAGGTTGCAGACTACAGCATGGTTCTGTCTTTGCTATTCCTCTCTGGTTTCACAGATCTGTGTTTTTAGTTTTGGGATTTTTTTTTAGTAGTTATTCAAATATGGACTTGTGTAAAGCACTCTGGATTTGAGTGTGGACAGGCAGTACATTAGCTAATATGATTCCATTAAAAAGGGATCCCATAGTCAGTGCCCCAATTAAATGAAGAAGTGTCAATATTAATAAACCCTCCAAAGAAAGGGATAAAATCAGATACCCACAGTGACCCCTCAGACATGAATGCGAGTCAGATCAATACATACCCCTGAGCACCGACGGAAATAGATAAACAACAACAATGTATCCAGGCCACTGGGATTTGGCAGTACTGCACAACCACAAAGTATCCTTTGTTTTCTCGAGTTTTACTTTACAGTCCCTTAGTCTCCATCCAAACAGCAGTGTCAGGAGCATGAGCTACTTGTCTGCAAACTCCAGTTTCTTGCCAGAGTTCATCCTGTCTCCCCTTGATGCCTGGTCTAAAAAGGATTTCTTGGAAGCGTAAAGATGCCATCCAAAAAGTTGAATAAGCAGTAATCCAAATCCCTGACAGCTTACATCCCTAATGCAACCGAAATGATTTTCATTCATCTTCTCAATTGTCATCAAATATGAATCCACTGCGACTGGGCACAACTCCACTGCACATTCACCTTCCTGGAACTGCACCCACTGGGGTCCAACTCAAAGTTTTGCCAGTGCAAAGAGGGATGTAAGCAAATACCACAAAAATGCAGTTGTTACTTTCTACAGTGTTTTGTTACTTTGGGAGTGTGGCAAGGCTGTGCCCTTATCTTCCCTACCCAGATTTCATGTTCGTGATGCATATCTCTGTGCCATCAAAGTCTGGTGGTTACAGTGCACTCTGCTCACAGCTACAGTATTGGAGGGTTGAAAACATTTTAGAATTTCAGCATCTGTTTTATGTTGATTTCAGGAGAATGGGAGAAAGGATGCCAAGTTCCAGAGAACAATGAACACTTTGGGCCAAACTCTCCCTTTGTCTGTGCTGGTGTAAATCTAACATCTCTTCATCCGGCTGAAGGTAGATTTGAGACAGTATAATATAGGGCAGAGTCAAGCCCTTTAATTTGGAAGAACACAGTTGCTTCCTCTGGTCCATGCCAAAGAAAATATATCTAAGATATACAATAGATAGCAGAAGAAATTTTAATTAACATTTTTTATGGAGGTATTGGGTAAAAATATTCCATTCTGAACGGAAAACAACTAAGACAAAAAGTGAGAATGTTTATCATGAGTAACCTAAAGAGGAGTACAATTAACGTGTTTAGAACCTTGAATTGTTCTGTTAATCCACATGCATTTATAATTCCAAGTTTTAAAATAGCTAATGATGTCCAAATAGATTTTAACATCTATTAAAGGTATCATCCTAAGATACATTGTTGGGGGAAAATGAAACTGAGAATGAAGTTATTAAGACTAATTCATAGTAAAGAAATATGAGACCTCATAATTCTTCCCAGAGCATTACAGTTAGTAAAATATTACAATCTTTTTTTCTTTTTCCCCTGCAGCAGAAAGACAACGGAACAACATTATGCTCTAGCGGTCAACATTAATTGCAAACTGATGGCCACTTCTGAGCATGGGAGTGTTCTCTGGGCCGCATTTAGTCGCTGGGAGCGCGGGCAGCCCCAGCCCGGCGGGCTGAGCCGGCAGCGGCATCGGCATCGTGCCACACGGGGGAGTCTCAATGCGCGCTCCGAGAAGTTCGTGTTCCATAAATCACTCGCTTTGAAACCTGATTTCTCCGTTCTGCCGCTTTGTCAGTCTGTCTGAGAGATAACACAAGATCTGCAACACTTAGCGCAGCAAAAAAATAAGCTGAAGCCACGATGTTTCTGTAACAGAACGGGCTGTAAGCGCAGTGCGTCGGGTTTTGGTGGAGGGGAAATCTGTGCCAAGCATGATTCCATTTATTAAACACTGTTTGGGCCACCAACTCGGTGCTGGTGTTGCCATACAAAACACTAAGAAAAGTTAAAGAAATCTCAGCCATCGGTAATAAAATACTATAGATTTTACATAATCCATTTGAAAGCAGAGGGTGAGCAGGCTCATTGCATGGCACAGCAACACAGAATCTCAGCACAGGGGCAGGGGAACAGCAATGCTGGAGCAGGATCCAGGCCTCTCAGCATCACATTTCTCATTGCAACATATTCTCATAGCCTTCTACAGCTACAGGAGTGATGGGCATGGCCCATGGTGTGGGCAGTCTCTGGGTGCATCTGCCCTGGGATTTACCAAGACTGGTTCCCTCAACAAAACTCACCTTTCATGAAATACAGGCTATGAGCAGTGGAACATACAGCCCAAAAATCATACAGCATATATTGAGGGGTAAAACTTCCTCATTCCCTAGGTCCCTTTGAAGCTGGAGGACACAGCAGTGACGAGGATCCTGAACAATGCACAACGGAAGTGTGGACAAAGGTCTCTCAGGATGGCACAGGTCTTCTTGCACTGCACAGACCATCCTAACGAGCTTTCTCTTGGATTTTTATACATCATTCATATGACCTTACCATGCCACACAGGAGACTTATTTCCCAGCTTATTGTTACCTGCTGCTGATAGAGACGGCTGCGAGCACAATATACTATTATCCAGCAAAACAACATGTACTGACAAAGGCTGTTTAGTGAGCATTGGCCACCAATCTGAGAAAGCTGGGGTCACTGCTGAACAATACCAAGAGAGGTCTCACTAGTTTCTTCTTCCTCCTCCATTCAATGAGCTGTTAATAGACAAGCTGTTAGAGAGAAAAAGAACTAAATAGTTTACAAGCTTACATTTGAAGGCCTGTGAATTGCATTAGCTGAGCCAGCTGAGTGAGAGCCAAGGCAATCTCCCCACGATTGTAGAAAATGTGGCATTGAGGCATGTGGAGGCAAAGAAAGAATGACAGTGACCAGGTTTACAATATGCAAACCAGAATAATTACTGCTTACTGTGATATAGAATTTTTAGGTGAATTATGATATGGAATCGAAGCATCTCCTTTAAATGCACAAACGTGTTGGAGTATTCATATTTTAAAACTTTCTCTCTTTTACGCAAATATTAATTTATCGTCTTAATAAAAACTTTCTGAAGTTGACTTTTAATATTTCCTCTTTGGACCTTTCCCCTTCCTACCCTCTTTCTCTGCTGCACAGGCCATTCTCAGTATGAGCAATGACTGCAATCTTTTTCATTACTCACTGGGTTTTTTTGGGCCTTGCAGTTATGAATAGGAATGTGAATCACTTCCAATACAATTACCTGGACAATTATTTGTGATCTGTGGAATTGGAATGTGCAGCTGAAAATATGTGGAACCCTTTGGTTGCCAGTCAGAGACTGACAGAGTTATTTTTAAAATTTCTTTCTGTCCTTTAACTTAACCAGAGGGGAATAAAATTTTTGAAAAGCATCAGAACAAGAAAAATTACTAATAGTGAAACAGAAAAATTGAAAAGTAAAGAATTGAACCATCAGATCATTCATTTTAAGACATTCAGTGGCAGAAAAGAATGAAGGAAATGACAGTTAAAAACCAGCCACTACTGAACAATGATAATTTAAAATTTCTATCTTTGAGGAAAGCTCTGAAACTTTTAAGGAGTCAGATTTTCACACAAAAGGATTGTTTTGGATCAAATATAGGTTTTGAAAGTTTCAGGTTAAAGATTTCAACCTGCTTGCAAGTTTTCTTCTTTTTGTTGTCCTCCCAGTCTCTGGTTAGAAACAAGCCAGGTGCTGTCTCTAACCCGTTGCTGCAATGACAGCAGTAAGTGCTGAGGTAGCTGGTTTAACACAGCCCTTAAAAACAACCTGAGAGGATCAGGCAATTGCTGAGAGGGCTTTCAGCAAAGGATAGTCATGGCTTTTGTTGTAACCTGCACTAATGAGTGGCTGTCTTTGATAGCTCATTCCCAGTCCAGTCAAACCAGCAGAAATCGGCCTTACAGCAAACAAAACTTTGTTTTTTTAAAAACTATTTCTTGGTACATTATCACATAGATCGTTCACAAACTGGTCTAGCCTGGGTTAGTGATCTGGATAACAGCTTTTCTAGTCAGGCTTGAGCTTTGCCCATTAAACTTTGTCTCAAAATCTGAGTATCTTTAGCAAAGAGGAATCTTTCAGTCACACGACTTAGAGTACCAGCCACCACCATGTCTGAAAGGAAAACATTGTTCTACACTCAGAAATCTAACATCCCTCTACATGGGACAAGAATTTCTGCCACTGTTTTAAGACAAATGGCAAAACTCACATTACCTCAGAAGGGACAGAGTAACCTGCTAAATTGTTAGATGCTCTCTTTTTCTTCCAGTCCTGCAGTATCAGTGCAGATGAATCAGCTTCTAAAATTATAGTCACCTGAGAACAGACGAAGTGGAGATTATGAATTTTCAGGTCTTTGATTATGAAAATTTTTCAAGTATTTTCTGAGAAAAAAATCCCTTTAAAGGCTTCAGAGAAACCATCATGTCAAGGGCAATTTGTTTCAGTAAAAGGCTGAGGATTTATCTAATCAAACCTGGGAATGGTTCTCTCTTGTTTTGGTGGGTTGGTTTTCCTGAGCTGTTCAGTTTGCCCTCTTGTTAGATCCTTTCATTCAAGTTAGTAGTTTCCTTAGGTTGGCTGATCTTTATTTCTGCTTTTAATATTCCCTATCGATTTTATTGTAGTGCACTTACATGCTGTTCAACAGTCCCCTATTACTGTAAATAAAATAAGATAAATAACTTGGCTTTCTTTCTGCATTTAAAATGTTTGGCAGCAGCCATCTCCACCCTTAACTGAGCATTTGACAATGTTACTGCCAGTATCTGTGAGGGCAGCTCTGTGTGCCCTCTCATGTCACTGGTATCCATGCTAGTTAGATAAAGCTAGCTTGGAGTTTGCTGATATTACTGGCTGGCTTTATCTAGCAAGCAGAGGTACCAGTAGCATCTGTGCATCTGTTGGATGTGCAGATGGAGGCTGCTGCCCTCTTAGACACCAGCAGCAATAGCAGTGTTAACACGTGCATCTATGACCAAGCAAGATACTGCTTATCTGCAATGTATGGGAAAGTCACTGGGGCTCCCGTTTTCAGCTCAGGCAGGTGTTATTCCTATCTATCACTGACAGGCTTTGGCTTAACTGGTCACTTAAATAACAACGATAAGATCCAAAACACAGCTTCATTTGTTCTTCCCCTTGTGACTCCTCTGCCCTGGCCTGTTCCACTGTCCTCAGGGAGACAACCTGCACAGTCAGAGTAGAGAAAGTGCATTCCTCTGGCTAGCAAGAGTCCAGATGGCATTCCCAGCACCCACAGTCCCTTCAGACTCCTTGGTGCTGGTGCTGTTACCAGCACAGCTGGAGGTCAAAGCTGCTGCTGCAGGGCTGGGGCAGGTCCCCGAGCGGATCCCACAGCCTGTGCTGGGCTGTGCTCCGGGGGTGCTGCCCTGCCTGGCTCTGGGGGCACCACCACACACCTCTCCTGAGACTCACTCCTCCCTTGCAATGGGCCTGGCCTGTGAGCAGGCACATTCCCACAGCTTATCCTGGCTGGTTTGGGTATGGCTAGCACAGCAGCTGACTTGAGTGCTTGAATGACTGCCAGGATCTGCTTAAGGCAGCACAGGACCACCTTCATTGCTAATTCACCCTGGCCGAGACAGATCAGGCTTTTGGTTCTCCCTGAGTGCCCAAGACTGACTGCACCAGGTCTGGGTGGCTCAGTAGTGGTGTCCTCTACCTCTGCCAAGGTTACAGATTCCAGTCTTACTGCAGGTGATGCTCGCTCCTCTTGAAGTCCTGCAGGTTTTCTCCTGTTATGTCTGTAAGCCAGCTCTGAAGATCAAACCTGAGTGGAGGCTCAGATCAACACTGCCAATACTCGTTCTCCGAAAATATACAGATGTATTGTCCTGCTGTGCTTTGCATGGCTGCAGCCCAGATAACCTGTAAACCAGACCTTCACATGGAGTATGTTCACATCCAGACATGCTGAAATGATGCCAACACTTCCTCTAATGTCCCAGATTTCGGAGTGTGCAGTTACTGGTTTTGGCTCACTTTTACTTAAACACATAGTTGAGATCTAAAAAGACTCTGTTCTTTTAAATTCGTTCTTGTAAAAACAAATCTATTCCAGTTAGTTAATACAAACTGTTTTGAAAAGAGCTGTGGAATACCCTTGTAAATATACTGAGAAAGCAAGTAATTAAAATAGTCAAAATAATAAGGAAAAAATCATATGACTTTAAGAAAGCACATAAAGGGTAATCAAGCAGGGTAAAACCAAATAAGATTAATTTGAGTTACAGACTCAGTATATGGTGTATTGTATTCTTTGGACTGAACAGAAATGCATGCTGTGCAAGGGTGTTCTGAACTCCATGAAAGAGTAATCTTTTACACAACCTGTAGTGCTGTGCAAATAAATGTTGTGAGGCAAAATAAATAAGTTTTGAGAAATGAATGACTTTGGCAGTAGTTTGCCAATTAATTAGAACAAAGAGGGAAGTCTAGCAGACAACACAGAGATAAATAAGGAAGAGTTCAAGTTGCCATAACAGCTTTTGGTATCTCTCACTTCACTTTTTGCTAATTCTTCCTTCTCACAAGCTTTGTGGGATTTTCTTTGAAGGGGGAAGGGAGCCAAAAGGATGCAGTAGCAATTCTGCTCACTCCTGAAATGCTATCTCAGGGTCTTTCCTCAAAAAAGGTTAATTGTAACTTGATCCTTTTGTTCTAACAGGGCAATGGAGTGTGAACTAGAATGGAGAAAGAATTAGAGAAGATTTAGTTAAGTTGCATGTATTCTAGATAGCAAGACCTGTTCCCCTAAAGCAGTTAAGGAATTAACCAGTGCAATTTCATAATTATTAGTTATCATCTCTCAGAACCTGTGGAGGATAGGTCAAGTCTCAGAAAACTAGAGGAGGGTGAATATAGTACCTGCTTTCAAGAAAATGGAAAAGAAACCACGTATTTCTCATCCTAACTTTGAACAAGTTATAACTGGAAAGAATAAATTAGGTATTATAACATTTGCAAATTACACCATTTTGGAAGGGACTGGAAATACTATAGCAACACAATTAGAACTAGTGCTCTTGGTAAACCAGGGAAATTATTCCAATTTAACAAGGTCACATTCACCCAAGTGAAATCAAAAGAACTATATATAGGCTGGAGAAGCCAGATCTCCACATACCAAAAAGGCAGCAGAAGCCTGGAAGATCTGAAGGTGATAACATCCACAGTAAATGAGAAGTGAGATGTACTTGAAAGAAAGAAAATCTTGTAAAATGTACTAACAGTAGCACTGCTTGTAGCATGTCAAACATCATTACTCTGCTCTGCTCAGAACTATTGGAGGTTTACCAGTTTACCCAGAATCTGGCTTAATACCATATTTTTAAATAAAAGGTTCAGTCCCACTGGACAGGAACAGGAAGAAATAGAAACCTATAAACTATGAGAAAAGTTTGGAGAAACTGAGTTTGTTTCCTGTACACAATTGAGGGGAGTATGATAACAGACTTCCAGTGAGTAAGAAGCTACTGAAAGAAGATAATAATCCATTATCCACTGAGGTTAGGGCAGGAAATATTGCTTTAATTTCCCAGAAAGGAGATTTAGGTTATCTTTCTAACTATAAACCTAGGCAAACACTGGAACAGGCTGCTAAGGTGTCTGTAGAATCTCCATTACTTGGGGTTTTAAAGAACAGATTAGATAAAAGAGCTGTCAACCTTGTTGGGGATACGTGATCTGCATTCCTCAGCAGAGGTGGACTTACACCAAATGCCCTTTAAGCTCCTTGCCAGCCCTACCATCCTCAGTTCCTGAAGTGCTGTAGTTGCATAGTTTTGTAGTTGCATACACACCCTAATTTTAATGAAAAAACCCATACAAACAAGCAACAAAAAACGCAAAAAAGAAATTCAAAACCGTGGATCCTGGGATTGCAAAGAGTAGAGGAGAGTAAAACAAGTCAGTGTCTTTTTGCTGACTCTGATGATTCCAGATCCAGTTGTGTTTTAATAGAGATACAGAACTTAGACAAGGAAGGAGTAGGGATGCTGAAGGTGGGGAAGGCAGAATTGGGGAATACTCTGCTACCCATCTCAAGGAATCCCTTCAGATGCACGAGCAAGAACTTGGTTGGAGCTGAAAGGAGCACACAAAGGGGTCTCTCTGAGCATCATGACCAGCATTTCCATGTTCTTCTCCAGCATCACAGAGTCTGTGGTTTGAGACAGAGAATCCCCAGAATGAAGCTCAGAGGGTGTGTAAAGGCAGCAACAGAGGAAAGGAAGAGAGTGTTTTAGGCAGATTCCTCCCCTGCACTGAGAGAGCCCATTCCCTACACACTGGTGTCCCAACACAGTGAAATTTACTGGAGATTCAGCAAACATTGGGGAGTAGTTTAATATTTCTTCAACTATCCTCAGATGCTCTTTTCTCCTGTATGTTCAATTATGCTGTGGATTTATTGATAAATAAATCAAGTCTCTGCTTTCAATTTTTGCACTGGGGGAAGCCACAGTTGAGTTCCAGAATTTCTGCATGTGAAATTCTCTTTGGTCTTTGAATCCTCTTGCAGATAAACTACTCTTACCATATTTATGGAATACCAGCATTTCAACACTTATTTTATAACCCATATTCTTCTACCCTTTTGCAAATAACTTCAGTTCTGTCCTGAAAGGCAGCCTCTTTCAGCTCACACAGCCTACATGTTTGTGTCTGTCTGCATTATTTATATCTCTACTAAAGCCATTCCTCTTTTCCATGTTCTTATAATGGTGCCTATCATGCAATATTTGGAGAGCTACTTGTTGTTGCTGATGAGAGTTTGTCCATGCTCCCACCTGAAAGCACAAGCTTTCAGCACAGTTCTGAATTGTTGGGCCTCCAGCAGAGTCTCAGGAGCAGCAGATGTCCATTTCAGGAGTGAGTTATCAGAGGTATCTGGTGAGGTTTGGAGTTTGATCTCTGCTTTTCTGGACGATGCTTTCTAATTTTGAAAACTCACAGTGTTGATGTTTACTGCTAAGCCATCATCATTTGGTAAGTTCCATCCAACAAGACAACAAAGACAGGGCCCACACCATATTTTTCTTGCTCAATTACACCGAGAGAGATGTAGATTTTCTTTAGACAAGTTTTAAAGCAGCTGTTTCTACATATTACCTCTCTGTTTAAAAATATTTGTGTTGCACAGCTGAAGGATGAAGAGAACAGTACTGTCCTCCTTTTCTTCTCTTGACGTATCTTGACCTGGACTAGGAAAGACCCTTCCCAACACCACGTGTGCTGAGGCTCAGAGAGACTCAGAGAGACTCTCCTGACTGTGACATCAGGAGAGCACTCGC